CGTTATAATATAATATGTGGCTTCCCTATAGTGATGCATAGCTATATATATATATATATTAGAAAGGAACATTTAGAAACACATTAAAACATTAAAATTATTAAAATCATTATAAGATCATATGTGGTCATGATAAAAAGAACTTGAGGAGTTCAAACTCTTCAGAATGAAGTCTGAGCTCAAGGTCAACACTCTTATTTAAAACAATATCATATGTTATAGAGTCCAAAAGAACAGGTTTTACATATAATTAAACAACTAGTAGTTCAGAAGATTGGCACGTCTGATGTAATATATATATATATATATATATATATATATATATATATAAAAAAAAAAAAAAACACAAACTCTCCCTGCACCATTTTTTTAATGGCAGGGAAACTGTATCTATCAAATAAGGTGCATTCTAGATATCAAGCCAATGAAGGAGCTATGCTGTACGAGAATTATATTTGTTTCATATGTGAGAAAATGAATTAAGCTAAGTTATAGAAAACAATAATAATAATAATCTAATAATTGTATTATTGTTTTTAACCAATTTAATTATGAAAGCATTTGACACATAACAAGTTCCTATAATTAATCATTTTCTTTCCAAATGGTAAACAATATATAAACAGTGGTAGGTAAGAGTAAAATCTAAATAAAGCTCTGTTGCTGATGGTTTATTTCATGTATTTGTACTTTTTAAATATTGAGGAGACACAACGGTGATGAAACAGATCTGAACAAGGTGTGAAAATGTTTTAATTATGTTTTTCTGAATGATAAAATTCTTTTAATGGCACTGAAAATAAGAAGTTATTATGTGGCATTCACTTAACATTTTGATTGATATTAAACTGATGTGAATATATTGTAATAATTGCACCTGAAAACATATAATTATGTGATTATCATTGTCACTATTTTGATCACTTTGCCACTTTGCTTTTAATCTGTATAGCAGATGACTAATGTAGGTTTTTAAATTATATTATATTATAAATACAATTTCAAATCACAAATCTAACAAGGCTGAGCAGCACATTACTGGAAATTTCTTTATGAAATAGAAAATAAAATAAAGCTGCAGTTGGTATGGAAACATTTGAAATATGACAAAATAACAGTTATATTTCTTTGGATATTTATCTGACAAGAACTATTTTTTCTACAATGATGAAATATGTAATGTTCTGCTTTAAAATAAACAATTACATTCTGCATGGTGTTAGGAGTCTAGAATCAGAAATCCTGCATTTTGCATTAAAATACATGTTATGTCTGGGTATTGAATCTGATATAAAACCACAATCTGAATATAACAACCTATTATTATCAAATATATGTAGAATCCAGTCTCACATGCAACCACATTGAGGTCGCTGTGAAGGTATAACATGTCTGCAAATATGTGAGGTGTCACTGTGCCAACTTCCATGCTTTTATCAAAAAGATTACACAACGATTTTGCACAAACTCCGTCCAGCCATTGTGAGAAAGTCTAAGACAACAAATCAGCATCGTATGGAAATGTGAAGCGACAGAGGCGACACAAGCTTGTAAACAATGGTTATGGTTGCCACTTTGGCTGTGTGTCTCACTGACCGCTCTGTTAATCCACTTAACACACAATAGACAACAGACCCACTGATCTAGTGGATCGCTACCTCGCACAACACATTCCTACCAATTTATGACTAAAATATATTTGATCTCACTGCACTGTTTTGCTGCTAATATATAAATCAGGAGTATTTGTGGTAAAATCCCTTAATTTATCGGAGCTGATGTTTGTATATGAAGAAAGCTGGTCGGGGTCATTGGGACTTGGATATGGTCTGAGTAATTTTTCACGGTGTCTTCTCCTCCACTCTCTTCTCAGCATTACCTTAACAAAAGCCTCTCTCTCTCTCTCTCTCTCTCTCTCTCTCTCTCTCTCACAAACACACACACACACACACACACACACACTCGCACACGTACATCTACTCCACTAGTGTGACAGACAGAGAGACAAAATGGCTGAATAGTGATGGAGGGGCTGTGTGTTCCTTTATGTGTCGACTAACCAGCCAGCACTCACATGTGTCAACACTACACTCATTGTCCGGCACACAGAAGGAAAAACTAACACCCTTTTGATAACGGGACAAACGAATGAGGAAAAAATAAATAAAACCTCATTTATCGAGATCGATAATGAAATTCTGTATCAGGACAGTTTCTCTCACAAAGGAAATATGTTTTAAGAAATTGCAGCAGCCGGTTTCTTTTTTCAGTTATTATTCTTTTTATTAGAATCATTTCTTGTAAAGCTGTTTGTGAGCGACCAGTGGAGACTTCGTAATGGCAGCTCCAGCGTTACGGCAGAACGCTGGCTGACGGCAACCTTTTGAAGCTTGCTGCAGCAGCAGCGCCGATATTCTCCACCACATGTACACATACAGTGTCATCAGTATTCTGCAACACCCGCCTCTCTCCAGCTCTGCTGTATTTTTATTAATATAATTGACAGCTGGCATCATCCTCGAATGCATAAATAATGTTCTATAGATCCAGAGTCAAGCAGTCATTGATAAAAAACAAAAGTGTATAGATAGATGGATAGATTTCCCTAAATATTACACAAAAATGTGAGAACATTTGTGTATGATTTGAAGAAGAGAAACACAATACAGTTATTGCTATACTTGAAATTTGTATTCATAAGAAATACTTCTTTTGCTTCAAATTTTCGATTTTCTGCCATTTAAAATGTTTTTTGTGAGCCTTTAAATTTTAGTGAATCCAAAGCAAGTGAATCCTTTTCACTCAACCATTGTGCGTTAACAGAGGACAGAGAGAGACAGAGTAAAAGAGGTGGAGAGATAATGAACCTGTGTCTGCTACTGCTATAGGCAATCAGGAACTAACCTTGTGAATAATCAAGGCTTGGCAGGCTCGTGAGGGAGAGGGGGTGAGAAAGGAAGAGAAAGAGGGAAAGAGTGAATATAGCACCAGTCTCTAATCCTATCAGTCCGGTCCATGGTGTGCGTGCATGTGTGTGTACGTGTGTGAGGGTTGTTTCTTTAGGACGGCTCCCACCGCGAGCAGTGAAAAGCAACCTGAATTCAAAACCTAAATGCATCTGTGTTTGTGTTTATCGCACAATGATGCCCTCTCACCGAGGCCTTCTATACATCTGAATCATTCTGCGTCTTTTGTGCCTGTGTGTTTGTGTCTTACGTCGATGTCTTCCCCTTGAAATGGCTCTTTCACTTTAGGCAGTGGATCACTGACAACTGCGCTAAAAATGATGGTGCGTCTGCGCAGGGTAAAATCAACATGTATTAGCCCTTACACTGCTGGTTTTATAGAGTCAGGCATGGGGGGAGTTGTTATTGTCTCTGCATCCGAGTGATATGACTCTGATTGTGTGTTTATTGAGATGGGTCAAGGAAATGGGGCTCGAAATAAGAGAGCACAGCTGATGACATAGCAACTATGACAAGTTGTGTTGTCTGTCATCCAACAGACATGATGAGCAGCTGACAGTGGTGATGAACACCTCACTGTGCATTGAGCAACAACAAACAAACAGAGAGAAAGAAAATGAATATTGGAAGCTTTACAAAAAGCATGTATAGCAGAACCATGGTATTGGAATAAATTATATTCAAATGCAGACCTGTTATTTTGCCGTGTACGTGTGTGTGTGTGTGTGTGTGTGTGTGTGCCCCTCTATATGGTAACAGTTCTCCTTTTTGACAAGAATGGTATTGGAACAAATTACGTCTTTCGTGTGCGTGTGTGTGAGTCCATATAAGAGTCAACACAAACATGCTAACACATACCTAATGTGTGTTAAAATTAGTGGGGGATTGCGAGCTTCTGTCCACCTGTCCACATGCAGCATCAGCTGTTGTTTGTTCAGACACACACACACGCACACACACAAACACACACAATGCCTCAACTTCTAAGCTTACATAACTAAAGTGCAGAACTAGTAATTGTAGTCAATGCATTGTTCGACATCCACACACACATTAACGCCGTCCCAACGCACGTACAAATAATCAGACATACACGCGTTGACGGAGAAAAAGAACAAATCGAAAACACCAAACAGCAAAGTGAAATAATCGTGTGACAGAAATCAATATGACAACAATGCTGTACAGAAACAAAAATTACAAAGCCGAGTCCTCTGTCTCCTGAAGCTGTCCAAGAAAAGCATATTTCTCGCCCTCCATCTTACAGCTGGCTGGCCGACAGGCAGACAAAGAGACACTACTGCAGTGTGAAAATACACTGACGTAGCTGGCTTCTCTGTGGCTGAGACTTTCTCTGTGTGTGTATGCGGAACGAAGTAAATATGCACGCCATATAGGGTGTGTCTATGTGCACAGATGTTTCATGTGATTTCATGTTGCACCAAGTTTGTCTTATTGTCGTAATCATCGTACGTTTGTCTTTTGAGTGTGTTTTGTTGATATGCAATCTCTGATTCTCACCATCTCAGCTCTTTCCTTCCCCCTTTCTCACTCACCCATCCCCCTCTCCTCTCTTCCTCTCCTCTCCTCTTCTCCCCACAAAACAGATAGTATATATATAATTGCAGCTCTACAATTTTAATGACAGTCTTCCCAGTAACAGTCTGGATAGACGCACCAAGGAAAGTAAAAACAGTGGCTTCTTTGTGGGGAAACTACACATGTTCACCCAGAATACATTTAGACATGCACAAAAAAGCTTTCTTCGGCCTAACAGTGGTAAAAATACCTCTAATGAACTATACTTATACCATCACAATGTGAGGATTCTGAGCAAAGTAATAGATACCAAGCCTTTACTCCATGACTACCAATGCTAACAAGCTGATACATGTCCATCCAATAGCACATTCCTCATTATTTCCTCTTAGTATTTGAAGTAATACACAAACTACCCCATTATAGACTCCTAAGAGAAGAACACACAGCACAAGTCACAGAGCTGATTAAAAGTTGCATGTTGCAGATGCTCACCTGTCTGAGGCAGTTGCTGTCCACATGATGGAGGCCTGCCGTTCTTTTCTTCTACTTTAAGCAGACTAAATGCAAAGAATGGGCCGCCAGCTAACTTAGTTAAGCTCAACTTAACTAAGGGAGGGAAAAAGGAACCAAAATGCACCGCTGCACCCATCTTTAGTGTAAGATTCAATTAAAAAAGTATTAGAAAGTAGAGAGAAGAGGACAAAATCTAAGAAAGACAGAAAGGGGAGACATGCTCACACTTCACTGATCCAACTTTCAACTTTGTGAACAGCTAGGAGCAACAGATGCAGTGGTGGTGTATTGTGGAGGGTATTAGGATGAGGGACACCCCAAAATCTCCCCCACTGCGTGTACGCGTTTGTTTGGGTGTGTGTGTGTGTGAGTGTGACAGCGGGGAGCAGCTCAGTGCAGGACGCCGCACGCAGCAAGGGGCCATTAGACATGGTGGGGTGACCCACATAAAAGACACACACACACATACACACACACACAAGCATGAACCTTTCCTTTTTGCGGCCAATGTGCCATGATAACCATAAAGCCAGGATTCTTTAGCATGGCCATTGTCACATGGTTCTCACAGTGTAGGATTTGGTGGCAACTGCTGGTTCACTGGGCCTCAGCATATTCAGTGGAAATCAAACAAACTCTTTTCACTGCTGAAACACATTCTTCCTGCTCGATTGTCTAAGTGGACGTTTTTTCACAGTGTACGTGTTGTGCTGCACTTTGGCTTGTGGTGCTGCTCTGTGCATTAAGTCTGAACACACTCTGCACATGCTTTTGCTGTGACTGATTAGTCTGATTAGATAGGATGGGAAAGGGAGTTTGTGGTGGGCTGCACATATGCACTTTATTCTTACACATGCATCTGACAAGGCCCCTCTAACACATCACTGTAGGTGTGGGTGTGAGTGGGAATGGTTGTTTGTCTCTGTGATACTCTGGTGACATGTCAAGGCTCAGTGTCAGCGGGGATTTGCTCCAGGGTCCCTCCGCGGCCCCCAAAGGATAAATGGTATAGATATTTCTGTGGCAGATCAATTTAATGTAGCGGATTATATTTTTGAATACTGTGCAGGTGTTCCTGTACTGATCATAAAGTTAAGAAGAATGTTATAATAAAACAAGTTTTCTTTTTCACTGCATGTGCAGCAGCTGATCTGCTCCTGCATAGGAGGCCATTTCAATTACTTCACAAGATTTTATGACAAACAATCAGGTAGTATACATATATATGTATTTTAAAACTTTGTATTACTTTAAAATAACATTTAGCACAAAACTGGAAGTTAAGCGGTTTAACTGGGAAAACATTGTGATTTAGATGATTTTTGATTTTTGATTTGATTATTAAATTGAAAATTGGATGACAAATGTCAAACTGTGGCTGCTCAGAGGATGCCTGAGTGTAATGTGGTGTAAATTAGTCTTCATCCCATCATCAACAATGGATGACATTTTATTGGTAGTAAAAAAATATTGTGATTGATAATTATTTTTTTAGTCTATGGGGGACAAATCCGAGTCTTTGTTCCATATGTAAACATATAAAACTGTTATATAAAGGCCTGATCTACTTTACACAGACTTCATGTCATGTAAATGCTCCAATGCAGAAATAACAAACTGATTAGAAACAGTCTGTCCCCAGTGATCTATTTATTTACCTGTGCTAAATACTGCATATACACTATGGTGACATACGTTCAGTACGACAGGCCTAGTGATTCATTTGAATAAGTTGAGGCAGCATCAGGTTCTCCACCAACTCCAACACAATGTTTGTGTTCAATAATAAATCTTGAGCCATGTCTTTTTTCTCTCAGATAATTATCATTTGCCTGCACAGCTCCACTTCCTCACAGCAGACAGATTGTTGAGTTGGTGAGTTGGCCTGCAGTTCTGAAACTCTCCTTCTTTCATTATCCTTATCTCTCCATATCTCTCTCCTGCCCCCACAACACGCACGGACACACACACACACACACACTCTGGCAATGTGTGTGTATGTGTGTGTGTGTGCATGTGCACATGCACAGCAGGGAGTTGCCAATTACAGCAGTGATTAAAACCCAGTAGTGTGGAAAGAGAGAGTGAGCGAGGGAGGGAGGAAGAAAGAAAAGGAACGAGGATATGGACAGAACGACAAGCAGATAGACAGAGATGCAATGAACAAGGAGACAACAGTGAGCCCCCATATGCTACACAGTAGTAGTAAAGGTGATATTTGTCAAAAGGTCAAGAAATGGGTGTAATGGCTAATTATCTGTCTGACAAGAAAAAACACAGTAAATGTATTTGTGTAACCAGCATCATCAGTGTAAGGAGATAATACCAGATAACCACAAGCAAGGTGCATTACCTCAAAAAGAAAGAAAAAAAGGAAAAAGTCTATTGAAGGCCACATTGACTTACAGTAACAAGCCACCAGCCGGTCCTGCCATCTGCTGAATAAGTTCTGCCTCAACATTAAACATTTTGTATAGAGAACCATACGTAACACAAGAGGAATATGAATTTGGAGCCTGTCCTCTCCTCTCTTCCTGGCGAAGTTCACAGAAAATCAGGAAGAAGTCTTTCAATCTTTAACCTCTCTCCTATTTACCTCAACATCAAACCAAACCATCTTTCTTTCAGTTCTTTAGCCTCATAGAGAACAGGGTGAAGAAATGAAGACCAAAAGAACAGAATAGGGCACAGAATGGAAGCAGAGGAGGGATGTGTGGAGGACAGGAGTGGTACTACGTGCTTATATATCAGTAATGCTTAGATGATCAATTTCTGATCACCTGGAAACTTTACAGTTAATATTTTTATTAAGAACATTTTAATTCAATCTAAGTATTTCAGTGTATCTAACACTTATCTTGTAAATATGTGACTGGTCTAAGTTCTGGTTCCCTGTGCAGTCACCACCAAAAGTGTTGTTGCATGATTCTGTGGCTATCTCAAATATGAAGCCTCATTCATCATCAATAGTCATTTTCTTATTAACGACACAGGTTGGAGGATGTAATCTCTTTCCTCAGTCTTTCAGAAGCCAGAATTCTGTTTATGTGTAATAATAGAACTGTAAATTCATCTACTCCTCTAATTGATTGATGTAAGGCAACTGCAACCTAACCTAATCTTTAAATGATGAAGTCACCATGGCGCCGCACTTTAAAGAGGCTGGTGGCTGAAACACTGAAAATGGAACAAATCAATCATCAGTTCGCTCTGTGCAGGGTCGGACAGATGTAACCAGCATTTCCTCAGCTCATAAGGCGAAGTCATGCACTGCATTTGCACCGTGTCATATTTACCACACACACTACCAACTGATGAGAAACCATTCATGTCATCCTCCTGTTGCACTTGCTTGTGAAGAGACTTGTACCTTTGAATCACCTGCATGTTGACATGGGCTACAGAAACCAAAAGCCCCTTTTCCACCGGTCCAAAAAACCCAAAACACCAATTAACACCTGACTTTTGTCTGCAATGGGAATGGATACAATCTGAATTCACTCCCAGGTCAAATGTCAAAGGTTTTACCAGCAGTAATGGAAATGTGACGCCCGGGTGAACGATTTGATAAAACATAAAGGTGAGCGAGCACCTCAGGTTTTGGTGCGTTCAGGACGTTGAACTTGACGCATTGTAAAAAATCACGTCTTTATCGATGTTTAGTCACGTTTAGAAACCTGAAAATACCTGCTAATTGTGAGAGAAGTTTTTTTTTTAATTGAGAACAACTGCTACTTTTTAATTGTCCTTTGTTTATGATTATATGAACTTTGCCAAATGAATAAAACATGAAATATGGACACATAGTTCAGATTGTGGTTGGTTCACTCTGGTGATGTAGAAAAGTGGCCTCTCCTGCTGCCAACATGAATGTTAAGTGTGAAGTAATCCTGTAAGTGAATGACAGAAAATCCAAACTGACGATTTTCCTCAAGACTATGTTTATAAATATGTGCAGTGTTCAGTCAATGCCTTGGTCAGTGACCATTTAAAAGATCACATGGACACACCAGTAGCTAAAACGACCATTGTTGGGGGCTGATTGTGTGAAGAAGTTGGTCTTTGTCTGCGCTTGCTTGTCAAACACATCCTCCATCGTTTGTCTCGAGGACAGAGCGGAGGACAGAACACGATTCGTAAACAGACTTTCATACAAATTTGATATTTCGCTGCTCAAAGCTGAATTAAAATTCCTTGATTTATGTTATTCATCATATTGAAAGCCAGGCAGCCTCTTTCTAATGAAGCCAGTGGACAGTTTGATGTGTGTGTATGTGTGTGAGTGTGTGTGTAGAGTGGCAGGTGAGTGAGCTATCTGCAGCGCTCACACACTCACCCCCTGCTGTGTTTAATCAATACTATTCTGAATTCCAGCCCTTACACACGCACACATACACACACACACACGCACGCACACACACACACACACGCACACACACACTTTGCAATATCTTTCTGTAAGACACCAAGGGAATACTAAGTATGAGTAACTTCACACTGAGTGGTAAATCGTATACACACACACATAAAAGTGAATGTGTGTATTTATTTGTGTGTCTTTTCTTGTGGATGTGGAATAAGAGTGTGTCCATAACGGCTAGCTAATTCTCGTCCAGCTTGTCCCCTGGGAGAGAGGAATATCGAGATTGAATGAGGTGTGTGTGTGTGTGTGTGTGTGTGTGTGTGTGTGTGTGTGTGTGTGTGTGTGTAGAAAAGCTTCTTGAGAAGATTCACAGCAGCGACTGGATCGATTCGAGTTCACTGAGGATGGAGAGAAAAGGGGTTTAAACAAGAGTAACAGAAAATAGGAGGGGAAGAATAACAAACCTCATTCATCATATGAATAATAGTTATGTTTTTCCCTGTTTCATTATTATTATTATTACTATCAATATGTTTATAAATATAAATTAATTGTAAATATGATTTAATTAGTGGAACTTTAAAATCTACATCCTACTCTTGATGTCTTAGTGTGAATGGTTGAAGGTGGTTCACGAAGGACGGAGCCCCACCCACATCTGCAGTGTTGCCTGAAAACTCCATCATGAGACACTAATGCCCACCAAACAATTCCAATTTGAAAAACACTTGATGGATCATATATAAAAGTAATTTGAATGACTGGAATCTGCTGCGCTCACAGTGTATTTAAATCAAAATGCTCATCGGAGTAAAGATGTTAAGATAAAGTTCAATGAACTGTTTCACTTGTTAATTTGAACATTTCTGCAT